TCATTTAGTATTATTTCTTTTTTATTAGGAAGGCGGTTGTTTTTGGTGGAGATTTTCGACAAATTCTTCCTGTCATTCCAAAGGGCAGCCGTCAGGACGTAGTCAATGCTGCCATTAATGCTTCTGACATATGGAGGAGTTGTACTGTGCTTAGGCTTACGAAAAACATGCGTCTTCAAGGACTTGCTAATTCGGATGAACGTGATGAGCTTGCACGTTTTGCAGATTGGATAGCCATCATCGGAGATGGAACTATCGGGGGGTCGAATGACGGTTGTGCACTTATAGACATACCAGAAGACATTTTGCTTCAGCCATCTGATGATCCTATTGCTCAAATCGTTGAAAGCACATATCCAATGTATAAGGAGGCGCCTGACGATCCAAGTTATTTGAATGATAGGGCTATATTAGCGCCGACATTGGATGTGGTCGAGTCTATCAATGAGTACATGACATCATTGAATTTGTTGGATGGTCGTATGTACTTGAGCTCTGATATTACTTGCAAATCGGATTCTAATAATGATTTTTTGTCTGATCTTCATACGCCTGAGTTTTTGAACAGTATCAAGTGTTCTGGAATACCGAACCATGAGTTGTTTTTGAAGATTGGAACTCCAGTCATGTTGTTGCGGAACATGGATCATTCTGTGGGTTTGTGTAATGGGACGCGATTGGTTGTGACAAACTATCCACTCATGTTCTTGAGTGTAAGATACTCACAGGAGATCATGCTGGTGATACGGTGTTGATTCCAAGAATGACCATAACTCCTTCTGATGTTAGAATTCCTTTCAAGTTCCAGCGGCGGCAGTTTCCCATTATGGTTTCTTACGCCATGACTATAAACAAGAGTCAGGGACAATCTTTATCCCATGTTGGCTTATTTCTTAAGAAACCGGTGTTTAGTCATGACCAGTTATATGTTGATGTCTCCCGTGTCACTAACCGAAAGGGTTTGAAAATCTTAATTTGTGGCGAAGATGACGTGCCAAATAATCAAACCAATAATGTTGTATATAGGGAAGTGTTCAATAATATATGATATTTTCAGTTTAATTATATGTTTGTATGCCTATTCTTATGATCATGATCATTTTGTTATTACACAATCTATACTTATATTATAAGCAAACCTATTTACTAATTTCAGTAGGTAGAATAGTCAACAATAATTAATGATTTACTATTTTTATCAAGCATTTAATTAATGCATCTAATATTTTTGGTATGCAAATCAAA